TTTTCTAATACGATTATGTAAAGAAAAATGAAATTAAATATTTTTAATGGTAACAATATATAGTCATATATATAATGAATTCCCACAAAAAAAATATATATATATATGGAATTGAATTGCATAAAAACAAAAATAAAATAAATTCTTAACTGAGCCATAATTAATTTCAATTATTTATATGGGCTCAACACAATTGAAAAATAGCACGCCAATTTGAACATAATTAATTTCAATTATTTACATATATGGGTCACAATTGAAAAATAGCACGCCAATTTGAATATAATTAATAATTTCATATACCTTATATATTAGAAATGTGATTATGATATATCTGCTCCACATATATATCCACCACATGTTAATGTTAATAAATACTCATTAATGTTGTGTTGACATCCGGCAGATATATTTATTGTTTGACATGGTGCATGAAAGTGACAAATTTAAATTAATTAATTAATCATCATAAACTTAGTTAGTTGTTGATTAATTACTTAATTAATTGTTGATTAAGGTGGTGGAAGGGGCAAGGACAAGGGGAGCATCCACAATTATTGGAATAGATGTCAATGGAGAAAAACGTCTTAAAGGTATTTTGTATATATGTAAAAATATATATATAAAAGAAAAATAAAACTAGATTCTAGATAAAATTATGTTATAGAGTTGTAACTAAACAAAATATTTTCAAAAAAAACAGATTATATTTATCCAGTTGGTTCCTGCTCGACAAAAGCTAACATGTTCGTTTATTAATCAAGTCGAACTCGTACAAGAAATTAGGCACGTTCAAAATTATCGTTCAAACGTTCGTGCTCATTATTAATTACGTGTATTTAGTTTTATATGTGCATGTATGTGTGTGAGAGATATATTTTGTTACAAAAGAAATAAAGTATAATTTTTTTATTTATATTTATTTATTACTTTTGACCTCGAACTTTTTTGATCCAACATATAGTCATTGAAACACTTTCAATGAATTGGTTTTTTAAATTAGCTGAACACGAACAAAGTCGAAAATTTGATGAACAACTAAACGAACTAGCTCGAATACGAGTTTCTGCTCGAATTGTAAATGAACCAACACGTAAAATATCCGAACATAATTGAATACAAACTCGAAAAGTTCGATCTCAGCTTGTTCGATTTGATTACGTACCAACACTAGTCTTCGATTCAGTGTTTATGTTGGGTTTGGGGCTTTATAGTTTATTCTTTTCCTTCTTCGGATTTCGGTACAAAATCAAACTATTATAATTTAAGAGTATATATATATATATAATCAATTTTAGAAATTTTAACATTATAAATATTCATTTTGCAGGTGAAGCAATTGGTATTACAAAATTCATAAATCCCAAGGACCAGGTCAAGCCAGTACACGAGGTCAATTTATCTACAATGTCTATGAATGTGCCAGTCTTTAATAATAATAATAATAATAATAATAATAATGCACTGGTAGGGACTGGACGTAACATAACTCAAAACCATTAATGTACTCAATATAATTAATTAATTTCTGACTGTTAATTATAATTATTATTATATGTTGTGATATGATAAACTTAATAAACTATATATTATATCTGATAGATGATATTATTTCAATTTTTATATTTAC